ATAGTTTTTTCTTGTATATATACATATATATACATATGTATGTATGTGTCGTATAACGGTGCAAGTTACTTCCACTTGGTTTCTAAATCTATATTTCACTGAAAGGTCTCTATTACTCCGAGAGATAAGATGAGATAAAAGCGCATCAATTTTTTTTATTGACCTTGCTGTCGCAATCCAGTTTCGAAGCTGCGCTTTTTTCGAGAGATGCGAGAATGATTTTATCCGTAGGAGATTAAAAAAATGAAAGCGCTTGATATCGCTCGCGCTGCTTTGACCCGTTGACGTAAGACAGCCTCATAAGAAGCAAATTCGTGTTTTATTCCTCGCGGCGGCTTCAGAAACGCAAAGCGGCGTTAATCACGACACGCAAAGCACCGCCGTTAATCACGCCGAGTGTACACGTATTTGCGGCCATGTGCCACAGACACGAACACGAGGGCCTGCATGTGCCTGTACCACGTCTGTTTGTGTTTGCACGTAGAATGGACGGAGATTCTTCGTTCAGTGGCCCGAATACTCTGGTTTTATCGTATAATTCATCTATTGTTTCAGCAGCTCCGGGAGGTCGGAACACAAAGTGTTCCATCATCCGACACGTTCCCTTCGATGCGAAAAAGGATCGATAAAATGTCGGTTATACATCGCCGGACGGGAAAATCGGTCTCGATTAATTGGGATAGTTTCATGAGATACACCCGTACAATTACTTTCGTTATAATGTGTAAATTTAAATAACCAAGTTGTGAATGTCCTTTGAAATTTCGCCGCGAGCGAGCTTTGTGCTTTAATTAAACCTTTTTACGTGGTGTTAGATTCACTGTTAATTTTGCCGTGAAAAGGCAGAAAAAGTGCATGTATAATACAACTCGTATCATACTGATGCTTTTGTACAAAATGAAATACGAAGCATATATTGTTTTCTAAAAAAATTTGAACAATTTATATATTTTTTTAATAATACGCCTTTTATTTATACATATTACTTTATGAAGGATTTAATTCTCATAAAATATATAATTTATACATGTTATACTTCTATTTCTATTAAAGATGATCTACATGGAAGGAACAGTTTTGCTGAATATCTATCTAAAAATTGGGTTAGATGCAATCACAAATGCATCCCAAAATTTTGTTATGCCATTAAAATATTTATATTCAATTATTATATTCAAATATTTATATTCAAATTGATTGCTAAAATCAAAAATTTTTGCAATCATCATCATGCTTAAGCGTCCTATATAATAATTTTAATGGTCCAATAAAATCTCTTTCAAATCTGTATTTGGTCAAATTTTTAAGTCAACAAAATTATTCTTTCTATGATAATATAATAATTATTTCTCTTGTGTTGATTTTGGATTTAGGTGAGAACTGAATCCGCGAACATAACACTTTCGTCGCCTTCAACTCGGGAGAAGCTTATTTTTGCAGAGAGAAGCCTAATCGCAATCTTGTTAGCAAGTCAGGAAAGCTTATATTCATGCATAATAAACAACAATTTCAGTTTTTAGAAAACATTATTAATTGGGAAGCGCAATTTCCAGATAAATTGACAGGTGGTTAGATAACAATTTACAAATATTTATAATAAACAATTAATACACTGCATAATAAAGCCCACAATTTACATTCTGAAAATATGTTTTGACATGACGTACAACACGTATTTAATTAAATGTATTTAATAAAACACGTATTTAATAAAATGTTAATCGGTATGATATTTAGTACCCGTTATCTTAATTATTGGCTTCTGTATAAACCTACAGATAAGCGAGCGATGATATCTCGAATTGTACTTGAGATTGAATCGCAATCCGCGCGTACGATAATTACAAGCTATGTTTTTCGCTGTTATTTCACAACAATGTCGTATATCTTTTATTTTTCCGTATAAACGTTAATCCGACAGGATTTCTTATTATTCACCTTAGGTTCTTACGCAATTATATTACACAAGACGCCGATCATCTCTATGTCCTATTAACGCGAGATAGCTGGATCAATAGCTTAGTGTCTGCCGAGTTGCGATCGCGCTTTTGTTGCTGTAAAGTAACTCCATGTTTGACATTTCTATTGTTGTTATTTTTCCACGGAACGTTATACAAAATTGTATACGCACTATGGCCGTATAAAATAAAACATAGAATTCGTGAACAAGATCGTGATGTATCTATATATTTTATGTAACAAAATTATGATAGAACTGATACGATCGTGACATATAAAAATAGAATGTAGTAAAATAATATTTAGAATAGATTTCTTTATTTTATATAGCAGGTGTCTTTTTATGCAAACAAAGAAAAACTTAATCAGAGCCTAATCAAAGCTCAATCTTTTACACATGATTACGTAGAAAATTCTCTCCCTCTCTCTCTC